GTTCCGACTGGCTGATGGAGGCCATTAGGTGGAAGGAAAATTTTACTTACTCCATATGGTCCCAGGGACAGATTAGGATCAATTCATTGAGCTACAAGGAGACAGATTCTAATTCAATGCAAAGAAGAAATTGATATACATATTATGTGTAACAATGGAACAAGCTGTTCTAAGAGACAGTAAGCTTTCTGGACTAGACATTTTGAGGGAATATTTTGGAGTACAAAAAAGCAACAAAGGAGCTCTGGTGGTGCAGTGCCTAAGGTACTTGACTACTAGCAAAAAGACTGGCAGTTCAAACTCACCAGCCACTCCTCAGAAGGAAGGTTGGGCAGTCTACTTTTGTAGTGGTACCACCTCGGAAACCCAAGGATAGTAATTAGAAAAAAAAAAAGTCATTGAAAATTGCCCTTAAAATTCCACAATTCAGTGTTCTGTCTTCCTAACAAAAACATAACCTCCTGGAAATCAAGTAAGTTCTTGGCCACGCTGGCCCTGGAGCATTGATTTGGGTTAACAAGTGTGGCCCCCCATCACCTAACTATATTGGTTCTTTCGATATATATCTGTGTTTTAACAAAGTGAAAGATTAAAGCTCATATGAGATTTGACCCTTAAGATACCTCTAGAACTACGAAGTGAATAAGGAAGATATTCTGCAGTCATTTAAGAACAGATGGGAAGAAACTGGAGGTGATAGGAGGACATGATTAAAAAGTAGTAAATCAATGCCAGTAGAGCTCTTATCTCAGTGCCTGACACATGATAAATACTCAATAACAGTTTGGTGGTATTGTGATTCTGACAATTGCTCTTGAGTTGATTCAAAAGACATAATAAAAATCGAACTTTTATGAAATAGTGAGTTATTTATTTCTATCTCTGAAGACACTCAGGGCAATTCTTGATGTGAATCACTAAGTCCCTTCTAGGTATTCTTTTTCTCTTGGGGTCAGTCGACTGCAACAGTACCTACGCTGATACAAAGAATCAGTCAGGTATCTGAGAAATACTTAGTATTTAAGCTTAGAGTAAGGCATCAAACTACAAACCTCACTGATTCATCTCCCATTAAGTCTCCTGAACTTTCTAATTACTTCATGCCACTTTTGAGCACTTGTAGTTATTATAAGATAACAGTTATTTTATTATTTGATTTCAGTTAATAACTAAGAACAATGAAAGAATATTGAGATATATTATTCACTTCTTTGGGTGATTTACAAATTCTCAATGGTAATTTCTCCTCCCAAAGGTACAATTTCCTTAAAGAAAATCTCAAGCAAACAGTTCACAATTCTTTTATGAGCAGGCTGCCTGTACAGGTATCATTTATTTACACAGAAAAGGAAATCATATGTCTGTTAATCACTGTAAATATTTAGCTTCTTTAGGTTATAGTTACCTAATTAGTTAGTTAGAGGAAGAGTGAAAAATGGGATATTTATGTTTTACATTGTTTTAAAAGAATTTGAAATGGTTGACATAATAGAATAGAATCCAAACAATTTGCCTAACCAGACCCACTACCATCAAATCCATTCTGACTCATTGCAGCCCCCATAGGGTTTCCAAGGCTATAGATCTTTATGGAACTATATTGCCTCATCTTCCTCCTGAGGAACAGCTAGTGGGTTTGGACCTCCAAACTTCTGGTTAGCAACCAAATGCCTACCCACTACACTGCCAGACATATTAAATGATGCTATATTTAATTTGATCTTCCTTCACTTATTTAGCAAACTAGATATTTAACCATTATTTATTCCCATCCACCCCAAAACTTTCATTTTAAAGCTCATTACAAAAAGAGGAGTGAAAAATGACGATCACTTTGTAGGAAGTTCAGGAGCCTCCCTAACTCAATCTTTTTTGTCTATGATGAAGGAAAGGGGCATGAGGGTTCTTTGTCATTCAGGTTGATATATTTACATAATCACTTGTTTATGTCCACTAAAATCATTCCACCAGCTGTTTATATAGTTTATGGAGACTTGAATTCTGAATACCAAGATGTAATCATAGTTTTTGTTTAAGTATCTCTACAACTTGAAAAAAATCCATTTACTTGATGTAAAATATATTAGTCCAACCCAGTGTGTGACTTGTCTGAATTTTGCTGCAGTTCTTATATTTGTCCTCAACAACTCAATATTAATGCCATATGTAGGAGATAAAAGGACTGGGTCAGACCCTCTCCCAAACTTTCTCTCAGATAGGGAGCAACTTGACCTGGGATTATCTCTTCTCCATTTCATAATATTCAAACCCTGTTAAGTGCATTGGAGACTGGTGTGCTGGAATGAAGCAAGAGCACTGAATGATGCATAGCTTTGGGCATAGAGATGGGCTGCTCCTTTTTCCTGATCCTGTGATTTCATCAGTTTGGGGTTTGATACCTTCTCAAGGGAGTAGGGCACAGAGTTAACTCTACCTTAAGACTAACCAAGAGAGTAACTTTAGAGTATAAGCTCAGTGAATGAGGCTAAATTACTTCTTGCATTGCTCAGATTCAGCTTGTCCATCTTTAAAACAAGAGACTTGGAAACATTGTCTCAAATGGTCATTTAGATCTAAGAAATTTTAAAGAGACATAAGCAACACTAATAATTAATAATCATTATCGTAGCTAGGAAATCAAAGAGAGCTTTCCTGAAGAAGTGATGATTGAAATCTGATTTAAAAGATACATAAGAGTTAGAAAGGCTAAAGTGATGGTGATGGTGGTGACAGTAGAAACATTCCAGGCAACGGATACAGCATGTACAAATGTGCTAAGGCCAACGTCACAGAATAGGACCTACTGCTCCTGACTCCCAGGCTAGGGATCTAAAAATTCTTCTAGAACTGATATTCTAAGCATATGGTTTCTCTCCCGATGTCCTCTAGTGCCCTAAATAATACTTTACATTTTCTGAGAACAGGATAAGTTACATTACACACACAAAGCAAACCAGAGTGGTTTCTAAGCTGTTGTCTGAGCTATCACTTAGCTCTTGATACACTGTAGCTGTGGATTTATGACAAGACAAAGTGAAACATAAAGTAATTGTTTTGGGGGTGATGTGTATTTCCTGTTCAAAGTCAAACATTCCCCTCAAATTGACCCAGTACTAATTGATTATTCAGTGTTGGACAAGATGGTATTAATACATTTTGGGTGGGGATTTCTCATGAGGCTACTGAAATCTGGAATCATGCAGAAGGCTTCTCCCTTCAGAGGGGTGGCATTCTAAAGACAGGTCTGTGAGTTAGCCTGGGGTGACATATGTTTATGGGAATACAGAGGCTGGCCAACCCTCCAGGAGGAGACTGGCACAGCTGCTTACATGATTAGATTTACTCCTATGTCTACATATCTGTATTTCTTAAAATTCATTTTTCCTACCTAGACTTTTCATTCCCCTCACAGACAATAGATATTCAAAGAACCACATGTGGGCACTCATTTCTGACATTTACCTTTTTCAGAGGTGGACTGAGATGGAAGTATGTTAATTTGGAGAAAATGCCTAGTGTCAGAGCCATCTCAGAGCATATGATGTGAGTATGCAAGCATGCTTGTTTGCCTTGCATTTATAACTCACACCACCACCACCCCTGCTCACAGTTTTCTTCCTTTTTTAAAACAAAAAATTAAGGAAATTATGGACTGTTAGAGCAAGATGGAGACTTAGATATGATCTGATATGACCTTTTCATTTTATAATTTGGAAAACCCAGGTCAGAAGAAAGTATATGGTTTGTTTAACTGCATGCTGTGTGTCAGTATCAGGCCTGGGAGTCTAAGCCACTGCATAGTTGTTTGCTATACAAGCTATCTCCTTAAATGGATAAAAAAAAAAAAAAAAAAAAAATCAAAGTCAAGGCTTGCATCACTGTGAATTTGGATGCAGAATAAAACAGGAGAAAAATTACAATAGACTCACTCCATGTTCATCTAGAAGTTCCCTCAGCAAATTCAGACCCAGAAAATGATTTTTAAAAAAGAAAATCAGCTTACCACTATAAGCATAGGAAAAACCCACTGTCATCAAGTTGACTCTGACTCACAGTAACCCTATAGGACATGGCAGAACTGCCCCATAGGGTTTCCAAGGCTGCAAATCTTTACAGAAGCTGACTTCCTCATCTTTCTCCCACAGAGTGGCTGGTGGGTTTGAACCTCCAGTCTTTTGATTAGCAAGCCAAATACTTTACCACTACACCACCAGAGCTCCTCTGAATATAGGAAAGAAACTTCTAATTATAAAATATTTTGTAAACTGAGTGAATATTTCCATTAATCTCAGGATATGTTATTCATACACGTTCTATTCTATCTCATGGGCTGTAGTTCCCTCCCTACCCATCAATCTCCATTTGCTCAGGGACGACTTAGTCGCTCTCAGCCATGTCATAGTTTTGTATTTTAAACTGAAATTTCAACCAGAGACCTAAAAACAGGTAGAAGGAAGAGTGTGAGTTTGAAACTATATCTCTGTTGAGCTCTAAAATGGGCAGGGATAGTTTTTGTTACATTTTGTCTGAGTAGGAGCAGAGAAAAATGTCAATGCAGGCAGTGGATAAGAGCAGGAAAGAGATCACAGGGTGTAGAACAGTTTCTCAAGGTGTGGTCACCTGCCTGCCCCAGATCACCTGATGTGCTTATTTAAAATGAGATGCTCAATTCCCCCTCACACCTATTAAATCAGATTCTCTGGGAGGTGAGGCTTACACATTGATACTCATAAGTTTTCCAGGTGATTCTTAGGTATACTTATGTTTGAGAACCACAGATACAGAGGGAAGAATAATGGAAGATGAATTTAATGGAATGACTTATAGTTGCAGTAACTATTAATTCCTTTAACTTCTCAATTTCTCCATCTGAGCTCATTAGCTTTTCTCTATGTTTCCCCCCAATTCTGAATTTATCCAATTCTAAGTTTTTCTCTGAACCTGAAGCCAGTGTAAAGAGAAGGGGGAGGATGTCTATGACAATCAGCTTGAATACTCACTCTGAGCCCCATGAGGTAATAGAGGACGCTGATGACAGTCATGGGGAGGACATAGAAGAGGAAGGAGGTGACCTGAATGATGAAGTTGTAGATCCATATGGGCTTGATGACTGTGCAGGTGGCAGAGCCAGGAACGAAGGACCCATTGGGGAAGTATTGGAGCTTGATGCCATGGATGCTGGTGTTGGGTAGAGAGAAAAGGATCGAGAAGCCCCAGACCACCACGAGGATCCTGAGTGCCCGCCGCCGCGTGCTCTCCAGTTTAGCGCGGAACGGGTGAAGGATGGCCACATAGCGCTCCACGCTGACCGTGGTGACGCTGAGGATAGAGGCGAAGCACACAGTCTCAAAGAGGGCTGTCTTGAAGTAGCAGCCCACTGGCCCAAATAAGAAGGGGTAGTTATGCCACATCTCATAGATTTCCAAGGGCATTCCAAGGAGCAGGACCAGGAGGTCTGAGACAGCCAAGCTGAAAAGGTAGTAGTTGGTGGGTGTCTTCATTGTCTGGTGTCGCAGAATCACCAGGCACACGAGGAGATTGCCAAAGACTCCGACCACAAAAATCAGTGAATACACTACAGTCATGGGGAGGAAGAGGTGACTGCGCCGAGGCCCACAGAGAAAAGTCAAGTAGTCCTCCGTGCTGTTCAAATATTTCTTGAGTGAATTTTCCAGCTCCAGCTGGTGTATCCAAGAAGCATTCTCACCTTTTTCCATCGCTGAAACTCAAATCCGGAGACTTGAGCTTCCTCTGGTATGAGGCTCTGTCCCAAGCCCAGCCAGAAGGGAAAGAGAAAGCAATTAGGAAAGGCACAGACTTGGTGAATGAGACCAGAAGAGAGCTTCAGCCTCAAGATTGGGCTGCTCAGACGCTGATCCCTTTTGAAGAAGCCCCTCCTCTACACAGGCTGTAAGCCAATGAATGTGTGTTAGACCGCACAGCACTGAGATGACATGCAGGTCTTGTGGGTGTGCTGGCTTTGGGAGCAAGGAACAAGGGAGGAGAAGGAGGCATTTCTATGAATTGGGAGGAGATAGTAAAACAGAGCTGATGCAGTAGGTGACACTGTAACTTAAGTAAAATGTGGTGACTCTGAACAGAGCATTTTGCAAACTTGTGGGAATCTGGGTGGAAATGTAAATTAAAGTTGCTGAGTCTTGGATAGAGGAGTACAAATCTCCATTGATCCTCGCCACTTGCACAGCATGACAAAAATGGGATATCAATTGATTTCTCAAGTTATCTCATTCCATTGGAAATTCAGGTCTCTCTAGGGAAAGTACAGTCAATATGACTTTTTGGTGTTCATTTAATCAACAATAGTCTCTAAAGCCTGAAAAAAACAGTTACATATCATCTAGCCCTGCCTATAGTCAGACACTTCAGCCTCTTTTGACAAGGGCTGGTTGTAGCAAAAGGAAAGTAGGATTCAGAATCAGGCACACTCAGAGAAATTCTCTTAAGACCTTGAGAGAGTAACTCAACCTCTCAGAGCCACATTTCCTTATCTGCAAATTTGGTACTCATTAGTTCTATTTTATTTAACAATTATTTTTTGAGGATTCACTATGTGCCAGGCACTGTTCTAGACTTTGGGAAAATATTAATGAATGAGCAAGAAAAGATTCCTGCCCTTGAGAAGCTTTCTTATAGTAGGGAATGCTGAAAATATACAAGCAAATTAGTAAATTAATAATATGATTTCAGATAATAATTGGCATTATAAAAATAAAGAATGTTAAGGTTCTCTACAGGGACAAGGCTGGAAGTGTTCTTTTATCAAACAGGGTCCAAAAGAGCTTGTTATGAATTAAATTGTGCCCCCAACAAATTATTGTAAATCCTAGCCCCTATACTTGTTGAAGGAGCTCTGGTAGAATAGTGCCTAAGGCACTTGACTGCTCACCAGAAGGCTGGCGGTTCAAACCCACCAGCCACTCCTCGGAAGGAAGGTTGGGCAATCCTACTTCCGTAGTGATACTGCCTCAGAAACCCAAGGAGGGGTTGCTATGAGTCGGGGCCGACTCGACGGCAAACAACAACAACAACAACATTCTTGTTGAAAGGAGCCCTGGTGGTGCAATGATTAGCTTGCTTGCTAACTGAAAGGTTGATGGTTCACAGCTTCTCTGTGGGAGAAAGATGTGGCAGTTTTCTTCCAAAAAGATTACATCCTAGGAGCTCTGTGGGAGCAGTTCTACTTTGTCCTATAAGATTGCTACTTGTCGCAATCATCTCCTCCACAACCGGGATTTTTAAATTTGTCGATGTAATTTTATTTGTGAATGGGTTCTTTGTTATGTTAATAAAGCTATGGCAGTGTAGGGTGTGTCTTAAGGCAACTACTTTTGAGATATAAAAAGACCAGAATAAGCACATAGAAGCAAGAAAGAAGAAATGGGGAAAGATTGGCACCACTAGGAGATCCCCAAGGGCTGGGGAAGAGAATCTGAAAACAAGAATTTTCTCCCAGAGCTGACAGAGAGAGAGTTATCCACAGGAGTAGATGCCCTGAAACTGTGAGAAAATAAAATTCTGTTCATTAAAGCCACTCACTTGTGTTATTTTTGTTATAGCAGCACCAAGAAATTAAGACAAGACTTATCTCAGAAGATGTCGTTTGAACTGAGATTTCAATGATGGAAAATGAGTCATAAAAGTAGAAGATAAAAGTATTCACAGCAAAAGGAATGGCAAGAGGCAGAATTAAGCTTCATGTATTTCAGAAACAGAATACCAGTATGGCTAGAACTTAGTGAGCAGACAGGAGAGAATGGATGATTAGAGTAAAGTAGCCAACAGGAACCAGATCATGTAGAGTCTTGTAGGCTGTTGTTATTCTTGTTGTTAGGTGCTGTTGAGTTGTATCCGACTCATAGCAATCCTGTGTACAGCAGAACGAAACACTGCCAGGTCCTGTGCCATCTTCACGATCCCTGCTATGCCTGAGCTCATCATATTAGCCACTGTGTCAATCCATTTTTTTGAGGGCCTTCCCCTCTTTTGTTGACCTTCCACTTTACCAAACATAATATCCTTCTCCAGGGAATAGTCTCTTCTTACAACATGACCAAAGTAGGTGAGACAAAGCTTGGCCATTCTCATTTCCAAGCAGCATTCCGGCTGCACTTCTTTCAGGACAGATTTGTTAGTTCTTTTAGTAGTCCGTGGTATTTTCAGCATTCTTTCCCAGCACCACAACTCAAAAGCATCCAGTCTTCTTCAGTCTTCCTTATTCATTGTCCAGCTCTCACATGTATATGAGGCAACTGAAAATATTAATGGCTTGTATCAGGCACACCTTAGTCCTCAAGTAGACATCTTTGCTCTTCAACCCTCAAAAGAGGTCTTTTGCACCTGATTTGCCCACTGCATACATCATCTGATATCTTGACTGCTGCTTCCATTGATGTTGATTGTAGAACCAAGTACTATGAAGTCTTTGACAACTTCAATCTTTTCTCCATTTATTGTGATGCTGCTTCTTGGTCCAGTAGTAAGACTTTTTGTTTTCTTTATATTGAAGTGTAATCCATACTGAACACTGTAGTCTTCATTCTTCATCAGTAAGTGTTTCAAGTTATCCTCACTCTCAGCAAGCAAAGTTGTTTTGTCAGCATATTGAAGGTTGTTAAAGAGTCTTCCTCAAATCCTGATGCCATGTTCTTCTTCATGAATTCCAGCTTCTCAGATTATTTTCTCAACATAGAGATTGAGTAATATGGTGAAATGATACAACCCTGACATACTCCCTTCTTGATTTTAAACCATGCAATATCCTCTTATTCTGTTCTAACAATAGTCTCCTGGTCTATGTACAGGTTCCTTATGAGTACAAATAGGTGTTCTGGAATTCCCATTCTTCTCAATGTTATCCACAATTTGTTATGATCCACACAATCAAATGCTTTTGCACAGTCAATAAAACACAAGTAA